ATGAACATGAACTAAAATGCCCCCCCCCCCCCCTTAAAAGCTTAAAGGTAAGGCCTTTGGGTCTCACACGCGCACCATGACAGCTATTGCTCTCTATCAGCGTGCTGTTTGTCAGTTTCTGACGATTAGCATAACTAAATATTGTGCGTCTGCCAGCTCAACAACTTCGTCAGAGAGAAAGCGTATGAAACGGCAGACTGAAGCAGTGATGCCCAAACATGGTCCTGCTCTTAGACATGTGAAATGAGCCCATCAAAGCCTGGCCTGCTCAAATACACTGCTTTAGCTACCCGTTTACAGAGCACATCGACCCTACACAGAAGCAAACTGTATTCAGTGCTTGCTCTTGACACATGCTAAATGTTTGCTATCACAGCTTCTAGAGATTTCTCTTGCTTGACTTCACAGAGCAGCAAAGTGTAAATTACTCTGAATTCAATACAGCTGAACCTCTATTTACAGCGTGTGTATGGCATGCTGTCAGTTACCGCAGGCAATCATTTCTTATTCTGTTAAAACAAGTTTAGAGTATTGTTCACAGAAATGCACTTACAATGGAAGTCTGTGGAGCCTGCATTTTGGAGGCTTGAAAAACTGAAATGTGAGGGTCCTTGGCAAAGTTTTGTATGAATGCACATCAGGCTTATTATCATTAACTAAAACTATTTTTAAAAAATAATGAATAAAAAAAAAAAAGTTTTTTAGATTTTATTTCAGTTAATGTTTATTTCAGCTAGTTGAGTACTAAACCTGAAACTAAAAAACTAAAATGTAATAAAAACTATTTAGAAAAAGACGGCACAAAATTACTAAAACTTTACTTAGAATTTAAATCAAATATATATATATATATATATATATTAAACAAAATTCTATGCATCTTTGGTTTGTATTTTTGAGTAATAAAACATATGTTGTCATTTCCCCCCCACATTCCTAATATATCAAATAGGTTACGTTGTTGGCACATTACCGTAAACACAATTTTTATTTTTTCTCAAACGAATCAAATTGATTTTCTGTGGTTCTCCACAGCATGCTGTCAGTACAGTTCAACTATTCTGCTTCACAAGCAGCAGGAGTTGCTTTATTCTCCAGTATGTAGTGAGTAAATTCTCTGTATCAGATGACAGTGCTGCCCCCTGTTGGTCAGGCATATGAACTGCACAGAGTAGTGTAGACAGCATATACAGCATCATTTGTTTTATCATTCGTCTGTGGTTGTCTTTTCATTAGGGCCTGTGCTAACTGTATGCCCCTGCTGGAGGTGGAGGACATGATGATCATGGGTAAGAAACCAGACCCCAAGTGTGTGTTCACATACGTGCAGTCACTGGTGAACCATCTGCGCAAGCATGAGATGATGATGGCGCGTGCGCAGCGGACCTCTGACTTCTGATGCTCGCTTTACCTGCGGTTTTCATTCTGATCCTGTTACATTTCCACAGTTAAGATTGTGTTTACTGTCCAGACAGATCCAAACAGCTCCTTCTGTAACAGCTGTAAAAACTCAATAGGGATTTTTTTACACTAGTTTGTTTAAACAAACAGTAGTTTGTTCCAAAAAAAAATTTACCGAGATGGTTTGTTGATGGTAAAATAATGAAAATTCCAAGTTATAACTCCCAAGATGCCTATTGCTTGATTCCATGTGCTAAAAACGAAGCATTATTTGATGTTGATTGCCCATATCTATATGGTTTTTAAAAGCCTTTAAACCTGTTTCACGGTACTGTTGCTGTTAATGGAGCTCAGACCCGCATGCTTTCACAAGTCTACTTGAAGTTTTAGTTCTGTTTCAAAAACAAATGAAGGTTATATTTTCATCTGTATGCGATACTGTGTTTATTTAAAAACATTGCAAGGAATATTAATCTCACTGCTTGTTTAGTGCAAGATGCAGCTCGTGAACTGTTTTTAAATGTTTTTCTAATTGAAAGTTTGGTTTTACACTGAACACAGAACATTCAGGCGTCAGCCTCATTTTGAAGTGATATAAAATACACAAACATGCATGCATAGATGCACTTATGATCTGTCCTTATTTATGGATGAGTTTATTTTGGATTTGTTGATATTCCTGAACTTCATTTGGAAGCAATGGAAGTTTGTCCCAAAACATTAGCCTAAAGGATCTGTTTTTGTACATCTTTACAGCATGGCTTTCAGCCAGTAATTGAAACCGTGTATATATGAGCAACCCTAGTCGAGTCCATTTGAGAAGAGTAATAATGTTTTAGCAGTAAATTCATCTGAGAAGGTCAATGATGTTTATATATTTGGTTCTAAAGATTAAGGTTGTAGTTTTAATTGTTTTAATGACTGCACATAATTTAATTTTGAAGACGAAACCCAGCTACTGCCACAGCCATGCCAGAGAGTGACTTTGTTTGGTGCTTGAAGGTTGCATGAGTAGAGCTAATTAGCATTCATTCACACTGAAAGGTGAACATTGTTCATTGAACATTGTTTGTACACACTCGTTCAAAAACTATTGTTCACTCAGTATTGCCCTACACCATGGTTTTGTATAGTAATCATTAAAACCATACACGATACCAAAAATGCGTTTGTCATTTATTGCATTTTCTGAAATAGCAAATGAAATCATTTTTAAACAATTCAGACTCTGTTACTTTTCAACAGTTAAAATTGTTTACAAATATTTTTTTACACTAATTTGTTTGAACAAATAGTAGTTTGTTTCAAAAAAGGGTAATTCATCTTTGTGCTTTATATTAGGTATAACTATATGTGACCCTGGAGCACAAAAGCAGTCATAAGTAGCACAGATTTTTTCTTTTATGCCCAAAATCATGAGGATATTAAGTAAAGATCATGTTCCATGAAGATGTTTTGTAAATATATCAAAACTTAATTTTTGATTAGTAATATGCATAGCTAAGAACTTAATTTTGACAACTTTAATGATGATTTTCTCAATATTTTGCACCCTCAGATTCCAGATTTTCAAATAGTTGTATCTCGGCCAAATATTGTCCTATCCTAACAAACCATACATCAATGGAAACTTGTTTATTCAGCTTTCAGATGGTGTATAAATCTCAATTTCAAAAAATTGACCCTTATGACTGGTTTTGTGGTCCAGGGTCACACATATACATATATACACACACACACACTCACTGGCCACTTTATTAGGTACACTGACTGGTTTTGTGGTCCAGGGTCACACATATACATATATACACATACACACACTCACTGGCCACTTTATTAGGTACACTTTGCTAGTACTGGGTTGGACCCATTACCAAGCAATTGAACAGGTGTACCTAATAAAGTGGCCGGTGAGTGTATATATACGTATATGTGTGTGTAAATAGATATCTATATATTTATAGATCGATCGGTCATGATATAAATTTGTATGAAACAGTCAAAATTATTGGATGAGCCACTTTTGAAGCCGTTTTCTTGTATATGTGCATGACGGCACATCAATTGAATTCTATCTTGTATGAAGTTACAATGTAAACGCCACAAATGGCCTACAATTAAGTCACTGAACTATTTTACTACTAAAAAAAAGGGTTTATGTAATTAATTAAAAAATATATATATATTTGTAGAAATTTTCAGGGCTTCATGATTTTTCAATTTCTTTTGTATTATAATAATAATAATAATAAAAAGACTCATTTGCTGTGATGTTTCAGCCATTTATTTATTTTCTCAGTGGTATCTTTATGCTCCCACAGTCTGTTTGGAGGCCTGATGTGTGCTCATGAGAACAGAGATCATCAGTCCGCAGCCAGTCTCAGGCTTTTACAGTTGTGGACATCATTAACGTCCCCTTTGAGCAGAAATAAGGTTCTGTACAGGACAGTGAGAGTAAACAACCGCAACAGTTCACTGCCACAAACATAAACTAATCGCACACTTGTAAGCTTACACTTACACTGAACTTCTAAATACGTATTTTCCATTCAGCATCTGAACTCAGAAATGCCACTCAAATCAAATCAAGTTGCTGAAAGTGTGTGTTGACAGCAGTAGGAACTATATTTAAACAATAATGTGGCCACATTAGACTCTGGAGAGAGCTGGTCTGGCTCAGTTTTAGTTCTCAGGGTAACTGTAAATCAAGCAGGTCTCTCTCTTACTCAACGGGTTACAAATCTGTGTGCTGGGAATCGGCCTCTGATTGGTCAGCATCAGTCGTAGGGGGCGGGCCGGTGGATTGGCCCTCAAAGGGACTGTCTTTCGCTGGAGCCAAGCGGAACTCCTCTGGCACTTGGTCTTCAGGATTCTCTTTTTTATAAAAGCCCAGCTTTGCCAAGAGTTTGTTGATCTCAGTGCGAGTCATTTCAGATAATGGGATTCTCTGGAAGAGAAACACGCAGCTTCATTTATAAGTGTCAGATAAGAGGAGAGAAATGCATACGATGTAAAGACAGTTACATTACATGAGTACTTCGGAAATATTTTTTAAAAAAGTCATTTATGAGGAGGAACCTACACTGTAAAAAAAAATCCGTAAAATGTACGGTAAAAAAACAGCAG